AAAACACCTTCCCCTCACCCCTGCCTTCTTTCTGGGATCAGCTTCACTCCCAGTTTCTCTGCCTCCTCCCCTCCAACAGCACAGGAGGATGAGGAATGGGGCTGTGGTCAGTTCATCACATGTTGTCTCTGCCTCTCCTTCCTCCTCAGTGGGAGGACTCCTCATACTCTTCCCCTGCTCCAGTGTGGGGTCCCTTCCACAGGAGACAATCCTCCATGAACTTCTCCAGCGTGGGTCCTTCCCATGGGCTGCAAGTCTTCATGAATTTCCCCATGTGGGTCCCTCCTGTGGGGTGCAGTCCTTCAGGAACAGGCTGCTCCAGTGTCAGTTCCCCACAGGGTCACAAATCCTGCCAGCAAGCCTGCTCCAGTGTGGGTTTTCCGTGAGGTCACAACCTCCTTTGGACATCCACTTGTTCCAGCATGGGTCTCCTGCACAGGCTGCAGATGGATCTCTGCTTCCCCATGGACCTCCACGGGCTGCAGGGGCACAGCTGCCTCACCATGGGCTGCACAAGAATCTCAGCTCCAGCACCTGGAGCACCTCCTGCCCCTTTCTTCACTGATCTGGGCATCTGCAGGGCTATTTCTCTCACATATTCTCATTCTTCTCTGTCCTGGATGCAGTTGCAGAATTTTTTCCCCCTTCTTATCCCTGTTATCCCAGAGGTGCTACCACTGTCACTGATGGGCTCAGCCTTCACCAGCAGTGGGTCCATCCTGGACCGACTGGCCTTGGCTCTGTCGGACATGGGGAAGCTTCTGGCATCTTCTACAGAACCCAGCCCTGTAGCCCCCCCACTGTGCCAAAACCTGGCCACACGAACCCTTTACATGCCCGTATCTGATTGTAGTATCACTGTGCAGGTAAAGTTCTAGTCAGACTCTGTGTCTTTTGGCAGTCTTGTCCATTCAGCTCCTCCCTCTGTCCAAGAAAGGCAAAATCTCACAACTCTGTAATCAAAGCAGTTCTTCACAGACTCCCTCCCTGACATGTACTCTCTTCTGCACACCTGAGAGCAGAAAGTCTCAGTCATACAAAGGTGTTTATATTCAGAAGATGGACACTGACCCTTACAGATTTCTATGGCAAGAGCTTTTTGTTTTTGCTAAAAGCACTGAAGAGCCACACTCTTCTCATTTGGAAACTCCATGTTTCCAAGTGCTAGCAAAAATCATACAGAGAGCTAGCAGTCATTGACAAATAACTTGGAATTACATGCACTGCTCCTTATAAGGAGGGAGACTAAGCAACAAATTTTCACTCAATTTTTCCATTTGAATGTATGGGTACAACTGAAATTATTTCACAGAAAGGAAGCTCTTTTTGTTCTGCATGCTTAAATTGTGCTGTTCTCTACAGTTATGATTTGCTTATACAACAGTTTCCTGGGTTTTACTGGGCAGAACTTCCCTGTGACTAAAGCAGCAGCCCAGGATTAGCTAACTCACATTTCCTCTTCCTTTGCTATATTTTTCTCACAACTATCTGCTATAACATAATCAAACTCACTTTCTTTTCAGCCAGTAAAAGAAATGGAAGAATACTTGATTATATTCACAAGCTTTTAGAAGGTCAATAGTTGCTATACTAACTCAATCCATTCATTATATGAGTGCATAGATATACAATGTGGAAATAAAAGTTACTGTCTAGCTCAATTTTAAAAATGTAACAGAAAAAAATTTCCACATCAAGATAAGCTCCTGTGGTATTTTTCTTATGTAACTGTGTATGTGAAATTGTTGTTCCTTTCCTGTGGTTATGTAAAACACAGAATAAACAGTCTTAATACTTGTATAACTCTATTCTACTATTTTTTTTTTCCTTCATAGTGTGTCAAGTGATAGCCATGTACGATTACACGGCGAACAATGAGGATGAGCTCAGTTTCTCCAAGGGGCAGCTGATTAATGTACTGAACAAAGATGATGCTGACTGGTGGCAAGGAGAAATCAGTGGTGTGACAGGTCTCTTCCCCTCAAACTATGTGAAGATGACCACGGATTCCGATCCAAGTCAGCAGTGTAAGCAACTTTTATTTTTTGATTAATTTTGTTACTTTATTTCAAAGGTGCATTGTTGTTGTTTTGCTTTGTGTCTGGGATTTGTAGTTCCAGGCATCAGCTGAATTGATTAGTACTTTAAATACTCTTTCTTTAAATACTTTGCAATAGTACTAAGTGCTTTAAACCCTTTTCTATTTAACCTACAAACAGCAAGCACATTACCAGCCAGCCAGTGTGTGACAGCAAGACTGTGAGGATGAGCTAAAAATACTGGATTTGGTAGGAGTTCCCCTTCCAAGAAAGATGCTGATAACTAGCATGGACTGGGAAGCAGTGCAGGCATAGTACAATTATAGAACTTGCTGGAGCTTCATAAAATTACAAAAAGTATCTGTAGTCATTTTAACATAAGTTAAGTAAAAATAACCATCAAAACAATAGGAAAAAGATAGTGGCATTAACAAGTGGTTTATCCTGTGGTAAATGCCCATGTCCTGACTCCCAGCAATCCAGCTCTCGTCCAGTTCTGAGAAACAACATATAATCAAAACATGAGCTGAAAATTACCAGCTGCATGCTGAGAACTGAAGGCTAAACTGTGCACCTGGCAGTCAGTATTTTCTGTGCCTTTTTTGAACATAAACACAGTAAAGGTTTCTGGTGTCCCACGCACATGCAACCCCATTTTTTTCTCCACAGAGAAATTTACCACCATTTTTACTCCCTCAGCTTTTCATCCTGTAATTAAACCAACTTTTATATCAATCAAGGGAGTTTGGGAACATACCCCGGTGCCAGAGTTGCTCCTTTGACATGATAAGTCTTGTCTCTTCACTTGGCTTCATTAGGAGTTTTTTATCTGCAAGTCTGGTTGAGGTTCACTCTTAATAGCCTATAGCTTGTGTGTAGGACCAGTTTGCACTTCAGGTTTGATCAACATGGTTGTGTTCTTACAGAAGGATTCACAAACTCGTAATGAAGGTTACAGCTTGGATGGGGAAGTTAAAATATTTTCCCTGGGTAGCTTGTTATGGTTCCTGGGCAAAAAACAGAGTGTGCATCCTTCTTTTGAGGTTTTCTTTTTAGCTAAATTACTTCTGTGCTCACATTTTTTGGTAACGCATTGTTTTGGGTTTTGTTTTGTTTGTTTTTTTTTAAATGCCTCTGGCCAGTGTGGTTGGGATGTCAAAAACTTCTGCATTTAGGCTGAACTTTACATGCTTTTGATTAGACAAGGCTAAATCATTAAAGTGGTCCTTTGAAAGCTTTAATTTGTTTACAAATCTCAGTTTTGAATAAATAGTATAGACTACACCCAGATGGGCTATAAAATTACGATTCCTGCGAAGTAGTAGAACTTCATGAATTTTAAAAAATTACAGAGAGAACAGCTTGTCACCCCAGGTGTGTTGCCATTTCGAGGTATGTGGCCAAGTTGATAAGTTCAAGGTGATCATATAGCACTGATTTTCAGCAAAAGCTGTGCTAAGATCAAAATGTAATTGGAAACTTCTGATATGATAAGTTTGTCTCATTATTTGCTGATATGGCATTAGGCTTTTCCTTAGGTTTCAGTGTTGCAGAATAAAAACATTTCCATCCACATCAAACTGTGGCTGTGCTTTGAAAGTATTTTCAGAAAGGTCAGTCACGTGGGCAGATGTGCATCTGGTCATCTGTATCTGGTTGCTAAACTTCGGTCTATGCATCAGATCTACAAAATCCACCTATTGGTGAATGAAGAGTACGCTGAACTTATGTATTTTTTTTAATTCTCTGAGTATTTCAAATAAGCTAAGTTATACATCAGTTTTGTGTTGGGATTTGCCACTCTTTTGTGACATTAAAAGGTAGGCATTTGCAAACTTCAGGAAAAATCCTGCTTCAAACCCAGAGCCTGCACAAAACAACCAGCATGGCTTGTTAACTCAAACCCAGCATTAGGCAGATATCCTTACCCAGGTTTCAGCTGAGCTGCTGCTGGTCAGCTGTGTTAGCAGTAAGACAGTTCTGTACCATTCTTCTGTAACCAGAGGAGTATTTAAATATGTACTGACTGAATTTCCAAACTTCCTTGGAATTTCCTTACAGTATTTTTTGCTCTTGTTTAAACACAGTGCAGAAACTATCACTAGTATTCTTGAGAAATCACTATTCCCACAGAAGTGTTGATGTGGCCCTCTAGGGACCAGCTTAGAGATATGACAGAATGTGATTTTAAAAATGCCTTGTATTTTAAAGAACTGCTAATCTGAGTTTTGTGATGTTTCTGTTGATGAATAGCACTTTGTCTCCCACCGTCTTTTCTAGATGCTCAAATACAGTGGCATTAGAAAGGCAGCAGGCAGATTTGGTTTACTGAAATAGGTTTGCAGCTTACGAAAATTCTCGATTTCCCTCAAATTTAAACTCTATTATCTGGACCAGCTTTGTATCCAGAGTCTTTTCTGGGAGTTACTAGTTACAGCTGTAATTACAAACTTCCCTAGCAAAGAAGGAACTGAGGTCAGCGAGATGTTTCTTAAGTTGCTGAAATAGCTCCCTGAGCAGAACAAGTTCACTTTTCCTCGTGGTGTGGCTGCACATCCTGACACAGGGTCTCTGCAAGGAAAGAAAGAAAATCAATTCAGGGCATTGTAGGTTTGTCAACAGGTCTCTTAAAATACCTGGTGATTGCAGAACAAGGAATCGTTGAGTTGTGCTCTCAGTAACCTCAATGATGATTAGACTTGCTCATGTTTTAGTGACATTTTAATAGCCCTTATTCTAATGTTTGCACAAAAGCTATCATAAAGAATAAACAAGAAGTTTCAAAATACACCTATAGATTTAAAATAAAGAAATATTCACAGGATCAGAGTCTTCTGTTCTTTGAGTGCTTGCTCAACCATTCAGGGTCAGATATTTTCTGTGTTGCCAGTACCTGCCTAGAACACATCTACCAGGTTCTCTTCCCATTCTTCCCTAAGGGATGTGTAAGGTAGGATAGGCATGGTGCACTTGGCACTTTACAGTTCTTTTCAATAGCCTGGTCTGGAGATAATTCTGTTTCAGCCAGCCTTTACCTGCCTTGCTCTTGGAAACTTGTTCTCTCGTTATTTGGCTTTTTCAGTGAGACAGCTTTTTTCAGTTTGTCTTCTTATCCGTGAGAGCAGTGTGAACCTTATCCTTATATTTTTTTAGCTGAGATTTTCTCCCCTCAGGTACCTCAGATGGAGGCTTCTGGTTCGTCCTGGCTGAGGTGCCTCATCTCCCTCTGTGAAACTGGTCTTTCACAGAGCTGAATGTTGTGCCAGTTCTTCCTACTCTAGGAGAATCATATAATGTTAAGGGGTTGGAACAGGCCTTAAGGATCATCTAGTTCTAACCCCTCTGCCATGTGCAGGGACACCTTCCAGTAGAGGTTACTGAAGGCGTTATCCACTTATCCTGGCCTTGAACACTGCCAGGGATGGAGCATTCACAACCTCCCTGGGCAACCTGTTCCAGTGTCTCACAACTCTCACAGTAATGTACTGTTAGTGTTTCTGCTCACACTTTTTCCTTTCCATAGCCCAGCATTGCTGCAGTTCCTCACTCATCTGAGTAACTTCCTATGTGTGCTCAGGCCTGAGCTCCAAGTAGTTCTGTAGCCTGAGAGCCACCTCCTTCCCCATTTAAACCTGCCTGCTCTGCCTTCTGCCAGTGCCATGGCAAAAGGTGGTGAGACTGGGCACAGATCCTCTCTCCATAGACGGTTCTTGATGCACATATGACAATGGTGTGAATTTCCTTAGGTACAGACTTGGTATTTATAGTAATACCATTATATCTACCTAGTTAGTTTGCTCCCCGAACCTCACTTATAGATGTGACGTATTAGAGACATGAGGCAAGCCCTGTCCTTTCACCAACAAGGTTCTTTATTTCCAGAAGTCTATTTTCATGCAGAGAAGATCATTAGTAATTCGTGTGCACACTGTCTAGGGAGTGAAGCTGCCTGATTTTCAAGGGTGTTCATAGTGAGAAAACAACTTCTGAGTTGATGTGGTTGTGGTGGGTGCACTTCTGTGTCTATATATGGACACACATTTTGAAGTTCTCTGATTCTTGCCGAGTAACTTCTCTTTATGGAGTAAGAGTTCATGGTATCAGTGGCTTTGAGGTGTTGCCTGTTGCAGGTCTTTGTGAATTTTTTTATCACGTGAAGATTAATAATTTATTCTAAGATTTAACTCAACAGCTCCAGAATTTTACCCCTTTACCAAAGATCAAAGTCAGTCAATTAGTTCATAGTGACATACTGACTCGGTATTTCTAAAACTACGTGGTGATTGTCAGCCAGGCTGGATAAAGCTTCCAGGTTGAAATCCTGGGGTATGGAATAGTCTCTGGATTGCCCACAAGGTATGTGCAGCTGCAGCCCATGTCACGCCTCTGCCTTTAGCCTGACTTGGCAGTCAGTGCCTTTTGAGACTGTGTAGCCTTTGGTTTCTGATGGGGAATTGAGGGATGTCGTACATCCTGCTCCATGGACACATGTTACTAGAGATAAGGCTTTAATTTCTTTTAGGCTTTGAAGAGAATCAAACAGGTAAATTTTTATGTGTTAATTTATATGCACAAATTCCAGCAAGGCTTTTCTATACAAGTTTAGTTTTTATCTGATTTTTCTAATGTCCCATTACAAGTTTCTCAGGAGAAATTCTGGTTTTGTTGAAATGTCAGGGAATTTTGCCATTGCCTTTAAAAACAAACCCCTGGGGCTTGACCTTGTGTTGAGTCTACATAACAGAAGTCTTCCTTGGGAAGCAACTTTTTCTTCAAATGAATCAGCTACAGAGGTTTTTCAGAGTCAGCAGAGGCTGGTCACAAGTACTTAAATCTGTGTGTGTTTATAAATATGAAATTGCAAAGGTGGAAGCTCATGATGTCTGTTTTCAGAAAGTTGAATTGTTCATCATTCCTTTCTGACCTTTTTGGTGTTGTTCTGTCTTTGTCCATATAACTCATATGTTTCACTCTTCAAATTTATGTTC